CCTCATGTCCAGCTTCTGCCCTGTGCTCAGCTAGCTCTGATTTCTGAACCTAACATCATCTGCAAGCGCTTTTGTGCTCAACCATCCCTTGCCGAATGGGACGATGAGTCTCCCTAACATAAAAGCAACCACACGAACACATTATTTTATAGCCGCCCGATCTGGATAATGGATCAATCTTCTCTCTTAGGCGTGTGCCCGACCTTGCACAATCGGATTCATGATTAAAGTATATATAGAGGGGATGATAGTGGTCATCAAACCTTGATGGCCGATAAAAACGTTACTCTTCTGTTTTAATTACTTTGAGCGATAACTGCTGCTTTCGTAAATATGTGAACACCTGCAAGCATATACACATACACAGACAGACATACTCACATTCTTCGAGGCTGACATATGACAGGAGCTAATCACATGACTATATAACTCATCAAAGAACTTAGATACGTACTATATATACAACATTTTAGGGACGAGCCAGCGAGTGCTTTTGATTCGTTAGCTTGAATATGGTTGTAAGGATGATATTCTGCTCTGATGATTTATGTCATACGATGGACGAAAACTTAGCACGTTATCATCGAAATCGAAGAATATTACCTTGGAAACAGCGTCAATAAAAATGTTCCAATAAAGCCAATCGATAGCTGGTCAAGAGGAATCCGCAGTCGTCTTCTGGTGAGATCGACCTCCGAATCTCTTCACCAAACGCTTTCACTCGAACTGGAAGTAATTTCACTAATCATGAAAGAAAAGATTCCTCGAAAGCCAACTTTTATTCGTATGAACTTTGTTTGCCTTCATTAGTTTTACTTTAAAAAATATTTATTTGAATTTCAAGAATAATTAATTTAATTTACTTGATCGTTTTACATTTGCGACAGCCAAAAAATGTCTTTTGATTCGTTTTCAGCAAAGGCAGCAGAGGCCGCCAATTCTTGTAGTGGATTCTATTTCCAGAATGATCCTCACACTATCTACGCTCCACCTTCTGCTCCACCATTCATTGAATCGGGGCCTGATCAAAACCTTTTATCAGCTGGCGGTCCGCCTCCATCCTATTCGGAAAGTACCAAGAAGAATCAATAGTGATGCATTATCCATGCGTTCTGTCTGCTCTTTACTAACCCGGCCATCCTTTTCTCAATAGTTCAGACCTTTCCTTACACCAATCTTGATTATTGCTTTTCCCTCGAATAAATCTAATATTTTTTGCATGATTTACTAAGTTTCAAGTGGCTATTCCTGCCATACACTACTATCTACATATTCTGGTCTTTCATCGATGTTCAGTTGTCTTTCGTCCAGCATAGCTAACACTATTTTTCCATTGTCATTCTATGGATTATCTACAAAACTCGTTAATTAACTCATTTTTTGCTATTTGAATTGCATAGCGAAATTCTGACACGCTTATCTGTCGTTATTCTTATGAACTTCCCACTTAAAAAAATTAATTGAAACGTTCAGCCACATCCAATATCATTCG